TAATCCTTGCTTATTTTGGAAGCAGGTCACTAGGCCTTTCTCAAGAGGGATCTCTGGGTGGAGTTGCTCCCATAATATGTCCACTAGTAAATTCATTTGTCATTTGTCCCACCCAGGGGTCTCCCTGCTGCCTTCTGGGCCTTTTGAAGTGCACACATGTCAGATGCTCGCCCTAGCCTTTCAACAGCTCGGGTGCTCAGGAAGACTGGAAAATCCATAACACGGGGATGAGGAAGCATGCCCTTCCATGTTGCCTGTGCCATCTCTTGCCTAAACCCCCAAGGATGGTCTCCTAATGGCAGCAGCTCCCTCTCCATCTCCCCTGGGGCTACCCGTTCTCCTAACACGAAGGACTGATTGCATTGCTGTTTTGATTACGGTGCCTCAGAGGGGCCCCGTCCCTAGCACTGCCTCGCCACCCTCCATCATTTTCCACCACCTCTGCGCTTCTTAAAGTAGTAGACGTTCTCCTTGCCGGAATCAAAAGCAACGAAGTAGAATTGAAAAAGAACAAGCATCCTCATTGTGCTGTTCAGTAGTAGCTATTGCTATCTGGTTGCTTCTCCATCATAGCCACCCTGGAGTCGGTGGCAGACCTGCCAGGTAGGGTGCCCAAGGCAGACTGCCTCATCTTTCTCCTGTGGACCTGCTGGTAGAGATGAACTATGGGTTAATGCCAAGCACTTTTAAGCACAGTGCCACCCCTGTGCCTTTAGTCAGTATGACTACATGCTAATTTTATGTTTTCAGTACAGTACTTGGGGGGAGGGGCACTGATTTATGGAAGAACATTCAGTCTTCTTTGCATGAGCACTGACGTTCTTCATTCGACAATAAATATTTTCAGTACTTTGATAAACAGTTCTTTTGGTTTTTAAATGCTTATTTTAAATTTCTTATGTGGAATGTGCCAGGCACTGAGCTATCTACCCCAGCTACATGGCACTGTCACTCCCCAGCCATGCCATCTACACCCTGTAATGGCCTCGGGGAAGAGCACCCTGCTTCCTTACTTCCCAAAGAACTTGCTCTCAAGCCTCAATGACCAGAGCTGCTAATTACAAGGTCAGTGGTTCGAATCCACTAGTCGCTCATTGGGAGAAAGAGGAGGGTGCCTGCTCTTATAAAGCTTTAAAGTCTCAGAAATCCAAAGAGACGGTTTACTCTATCCTAGAGGATGGCTGTGAGTCAAAATCGAGCTATGTGAACATTTACCGTGGACACATGCAAATGCTTATGTGCACAGCTCACCAACTCAAGCTGTAGAAGGAGCCCTTGGGGTGCAGTGGGAAGTTCTAACCCACCAGGTGTTCGAGGGATGGGACAGTCTGCTTTGGGAAACAGTTATAGACTTGGAAACCCTGTGGGGCAGATTTACTCTGGACCAATGGTGTCTGTGAGGCAGGAATGACCTGGCGGCTGAGGGCGTGGGGGAGCGCTAGGGGCAGGAGCATGTCTTGTCCTGGTTTGGAGTCTTCGAGTGATGCCTTCAGCCCTTGTCTCCCCTGCCTGAGCTGGGGACACAGACGTAAAACAGGGGAGAGGGATTGGGAATTAAACTCTCTCTCTCTCTCTCTAGGTGAAGGCTAAGTTAGAAGACTTAGCTTTTTCACGAGACCAAATGGAGCTGCGAAGTGAATTCAGAATCAGGCAGCCTCAACCATCATGCAAAGGCCTCCCAGGCTTCCCTACATGGGTGTGTTAGTCCGGGTAAACAAATCCACAGAAACTCATATATGTAAAAGAGAGAGTTTTATATAAAGGGTAAGTGTACATTCAGAAAGCATCCCAACCCAGTGCTGTCCAAGCACATAAGTCCAACATCAGCCCATATGTCCGACACAAATCTACAAAGCCCTCCTCCATCTCACAAATCACACGCAATGATGCCGACTGCAGGAGGAAAGCCGAATCAGTGAGCGTGTAAGTATCTCAGTGCTGGCAGGGGTCTCCACTTGGCTGCTCCAGCAGCCAGGGCTGCATCAGGTCCATGTGACTTCTCCTCAGGGACGTCTCGCAGGAAGTTGAAGCAGGGAACTGGCTAAGGCAGCTGCACCCTGGTCCGACCATCAGAGAGCAAGAAACCCGAGAACCAGAAAGGTGAGCTCACTGAGTCATTTATCTCTCCTCCCTTCAATTAAATGGCCAGGTTGGCAGAAGAAACCTTCATTATCTCAATGGGAAACAATAGCCAATGTCCGTCCGCAGGTGTCTTCAGGAGTAAAAGGGCAAATGGGACTCTACCAAACTCATTACCATCGAATTGATTCCAACTCATGGTGACCCTACAGCACAGGGCAGAACTGCCCCTGTGGGTGTCTGAGACCCTAACCTTTAACGGAAGTGGAAAGTCTCATCTTTCTCCCACAAAGCGGCTGGTGGTTTTGACCTGCTGCCGTTGGTTAACTACCCAAGCAATGCCTAACCCACTATTGCCACCAGGGTTTCCTTTACAGGCCCAGCTTTTTCCTCCCCACAACTATGAAACAAGGATGGTTAAGAAAACCCCTTCCTCACTCAGCCCCTCACCCAGATGTGGAAGGAGAAAGGCATGTTTTACCTCTTAGTACATGGCCCAGATCACAACACTTTAGAAAACAGCAGGGTAGAACCGACACCACTAGCTCACTTCATCACTCCCTGCATCTGACCCTTGAGCAAACTGGGGCCCAGGCAGAAAGAACTTGCCCACCGTCACTCGATCCTCAATGGAAGGTTCTGATCATTTAAATCTACAACTCAGATAACACATAATAGTAATTAATATTGTGACTCAACTCTTAAGGGCAAGAAAAAGACAGATGTTGCCCCTGGCTCCTTCTTCAAGCTGCTGAACTTGCCTGGCCCACTTTGGAAGGATGTTTGCTCAAATGGAGCCCCAGAGTCAGATGCCTTGGCACAGAGCTGTGACTGGATTCGGGAAGCCTGGTCCTTGGCTAATCCAATGCTCTCTGAGTAATTAACGAGGGAGAAGCGAGATGTCAGGTGGAAATATGCATTTACTACATATGACAGAGCCCTGCGGATGTATTTAATCCTGGATTTTGGGGGTTGTCTTCCCCTGACTTAATTCCTGACCACTGTAGAGGAATCCATAAAGGCTTCTGGAATCGAGAGGGAACAAGGGAGCAGAGAAGCTGTCTTTAACAGTTTCTCTTTCTTAGACATCATTTCAGATTTTTCCCTTTTTAATTGTGGGAAGGATGTGCAAAAGGTTTTTTTAAAAATCGTTTTAAAATTAAGAGAGACACTTTTACTTATTTCTTTCGCTGATCATTCTCAAAAATTGCTGAAAAATGAAGACTTCCCCACGCTGATTAGAATGGAAAGCATTTCTAATTACTTATTAGCAGAAATGTACACGAACGAACAAACAGAACCTCCAGGCAAGTTCTTACTTGAATTCACTGCTAAATCCATTACATCAAGCTGCTGGGGGGACCAGGACGGATGCGGAGCAGGGAGCACTGACATTAACCTCATGTTCGGGAAATTTCAGAAAAATGCTTTTGTAACCTCATCACCATCCACTCCAGGGAAAACATCACTCTCTAAGCCTCAGGAGCAGCTACACCAATAAAGGAAGAAACCAGACGTGTTATTTATGAGCTCCTTCCCTTTGAAGTTTGGAACCCCCATGAGCTAAGCATCCGTGAGCACGTCTGTTCCTGCGCCGGAGCCGCGCTGAGCGCTCGAACCACGACCCTGCCAAGGGCGGCCTCGCGCGCCGCGCAGCGGACCGTTGTGGTGGCGCAGTTCCAGCGTCGGACTGCAGAAAAGCGGACCGCCGGCAGACCGCGCCACATCCCAGCACGGTCCGCGTGCCTGCCGTGTCCGCAGAGCTGCTTGCTAGTCTCGCGCACCACCCAGCGCACCGCCAGGTTGCGGGCGAGCGGGTTCCAGCAGAGGCGCCACGGCTCGAAACTGGAGCGCAAAGTCAGGCCGGGCGCGACCCGCAGCCACCTGCCCCGGAGCGGGGCACAAGCGTCTTGGAGCCCGTCATCGGAGCTGCAACTTCCCGGGGGAGCTCCATTTTAGGGACCAGCCTGCGGATTCGGTGCAGGTAGCTGGGGGGCTGTGCGTGGGTGGGCAATGTGGCCATGGCTAGTGGGGCCGTCAGGGTCTGCCATCGGGTGGCGGTGAGGTGCCCCGCATTCCTGGTGCCGGAAGCGCATGGGATGCTCTAACCGATTGTAAGTGACTGCTCAGGACCGGGCGCAGAGCCCTGGATGGAAAGTGCCGGTCCTGAACTTCAGAGTGCCAGGTGCGGGGGACTCGCCGCGCTTAGAGTCTAAGCGAGCTTGGGAGTCCCGGGTGGGCACTGAGATAGGAGGGACAGCTGAACCGAGGCCTGGGGTGTGGGGTGTGTGTGTGGAGAGCAGTCGTTCAAGATGTTCAGGGGGACACCTGCTGAGCATCTGAGAGACAAGGAGGCAGGAAGGTTGTAGGGCAGGATTCCCAGGCAAGGGGCTGTCGGCGGGGAATCTGCAGAGTGCTTATTGGAGAAGGTGGCTTGGGATGAGGCTGGGTTGAGGGCTTTCGGAGGAAGTAGCTAGTGTGTGGGAGACGGCTGGGGGGACAGTCCCAGACCCGGACCCCGAGGGAGGCAGGTGGCTGATTATGGCCCTCTTTTCCACCCCAGCAGAAAGCGCTGATCCTCCCGAGGAAGGCGCTGCGGCAGGGCAGAGGATCCTCGCTCATTTGCAGAGGCTCAGAAAGAGGTACCCTAAAGGGGCATTCCCAGGGTGGGGGGGGGGCAGCACTTTAGCCCTGAGGTCCACTCGGTTTGGGTTTCCCGGGCAGGAAGAAGACTGACTGCCCTGCATGCATGTCCACAGAGAAACAGAACCGCCTTTTCACGCCCCCGCCCCCATCCCCCGGTTTGTTTCAGGGTCACACCCAGCAGATCCGTCCCTCAGGCCAAGGACCCAGGTGTGCACATTGGGGCCGCGCCCCGCCGTACAGGGCACGCAGGCCAGGAGCGCACCGGGGCCACGACCATGGAGGGCGCACTGGCCGCCAACTGGAGCAGGGCTGAGGCGAACGTGAGCTTGGCGCCGCCGGGGGCCGAGGGCAACCTCACCGCAGCTGGGCCGCCACAGCGCAACGAGGCCCTGGCGCGCGTGGAGGTGGCCGTGCTCTGCCTGATCCTCTTCCTGGCGCTGAGCGGCAACGCGTGCGTGCTGCTGGCACTGCGCACCACGCGCCACAAACACTCGCGCCTCTTCTACTTCATGAAGCACCTGAGCGTCGCCGACCTGGTGGTGGCAGTGTTCCAGGTGCTGCCGCAGCTGCTGTGGGACATCACCTTCCGCTTCTACGGGCCCGACCTGCTGTGCCGCCTGGTCAAGTACTTGCAGGTGGTGGGCATGTTCGCCTCCACTTACCTGCTGCTGCTCATGTCGCTCGACCGCTGCCTGGCCATCTGCCAGCCGCTGCGCGCCCTGCGCCGCCGCACCGACCGCCTGGCCGTGCTGGCCACGTGGCTCGGCTGCCTGGTGGCCAGCGCGCCGCAGGTGCACATCTTCTCCCTGCGCGAAGTGTCCGACGGCGTCTTCGACTGCTGGGCAGTCTTCATCCAGCCCTGGGGCCCCAAGGCGTACATCACGTGGATCACGCTGGCCGTGTACATCGTGCCCGTCATCGTGCTGGCCGCCTGCTACGGCCTCATCAGTTTCAAGATCTGGCAGAACCTCCGGCTCAAGACGGCGGCGGCGGCGGCCGCGACAGCCCAAGGGCCCAGCAGCGCGACCACGGGCGGCGAGGGACTGATGCCCCTGGCACGGGTCAGCAGCGTCAAGCTCATCTCCAAGGCCAAGATCCGCACGGTCAAGATGACCTTCATCATCGTGCTGGCCTTCATCGTCTGCTGGACGCCGTTCTTCTTCGTGCAGATGTGGAGTGTCTGGGATGCGAACGCGCCCAAAGAAGGTAGTGCGGGCCGGCGGGTGGGCGGGTGGGTGGGCACCGGAGGTGTGGAGCTGCGCCCGACGGGCTGCGGGGCCGGGAGTCCAGGGTTCTGAGGCCCTTGGGAAGTCTAAGCGGGTTTTGGAATCCGGAAGAGCTGGATTTGAGTCGCGGCTCTATGATTATCCACTGGCTAAGTAACTTTGGGCAAAAAAAAGCCCCCAAAACAACCCCACAACCCTTCCGTTTTTCCTCTGTAAAATAACAATGTTTTGGGGGAGTTTTTTGAAAGTGCCAACTCTGATGAGGCACTAGGGAACTGACATGAGAAAAATGCCAGTAAAGCCCTTAGCAGCAAGTCTCTGGGCTGCTTGTGGGGTTCATAGTTCGTAAGTCTGGACGAGGAAACTCGTGCTCAGGGGAAGCATCTTTCTCACTGAGGCAGTGGTGGAGGTAAGCTACGAATTCTGGCCTAAATTCAAGCTCAGTCAGATTTAAGAGGCTTCCAAGTCAAGGCTGCCTCTGTCTACACTCAAGGGGTTTGGTTTGAGTGGGGCAGACCTGGAAGCTGGGTTATTCCACTAAGTACCTAGAAGACGAAGAAGTGAAGGGAGAGGCAGAGGAGGGGCTGAGAGGTGAGTCCCAGGGTGGGTGAGTTGGCTGGGACATCAGCACCCACCCTTGACTATACTACTCCTAAGAAAAGGGAGGGGAAGGGAGTGTTCTGGTTGGAGTCCAGCCCCCCAGCTGGGTTGTTTCTGTACAGAAGTTGTGGGGCAGAGTGTGGATGGGAGTACCCTCCCGGTTGGGTCCCTTGGTAGAACTGTGCACCCCTGGGCTGCCAGCTCCTTCTACCGCATGGCTGAGGATGGGGCTGTTGTCCCAGGTGGTTGGAATTGGGAGATGAGGGTAGTATTGGGAATCTGGAGGGGGAGGGTGCTTAGCGGGCAGAGTGCACCTCAGGGCTTGAAGCTGGCCCTGGGAGGCCAACCGCAGAGCTCCAGGCAGCTCGGCCCCACCCCCAACTCCAGAAGCACCTTTGGAGGGAGGGGGAGGGGTGGCTGGGGTTGGCAGTGGTGGGGTGGCAGGATAATGAGGACCTTGAAGGTGGAGGAGAGACCAAGTGGGGTGCTTTTTTGCCTTTTGCCCTTGAGACTGGGCACATTCCCCATCTTCTCTGCCCGCCGCCTCACCCAACTGTTTCAAACAGACAGACACCCCATTGAAACGGAAATAAAAACCCCAGCCCAAAGCTACCTTCATTCAGCTTGATCATTTTGCTCAGACCCCTTCCTGACACCATCGACCTCTGGCTTTGTGAAGCATCCCAAACATGTCATTCAGTATTCACAGAGTGCGCAGCAGTTACCCCGTGGACTGCTGACCACAAGATCAACAGTTTGAGCCCACCAGCTGCATCCAGGGAGGGAGATGTGAAGATGTACCACCTGGGAAACCCAAACGCTGCCCCACTGGGTCACTATGACTTGGTGGCTTTCCCCACCTCTCTGTACACCAAGCCCACGGCAGTGGTGAGTGAGGATTGGGGGAGGACTCAGGCCGCAAAGCCAGACTGCCTTTTGGTCATGCAGCCTCTGGGGGTGGGGAGAGGATTCCAGGTCCCAGACACAGGTGGGCCAGTCCCTCAGGTACAGTGACAAGGACCAGGCATGAAGAGCACCCTACAAGGAGGGTGTAGTGTTGGGTAAACGTCATCTGTGAATGTTTGAAAGGAGGTACCAGGCGCACGCCCGTTTCCTGGGCAGAAAATCCTGAGAGCTCAGACCCAGGACTGGAGGAGCTCAAATCCCACCACTGAGGAAATGAGACAGATGCTTAGAGTACAGGGTGGAGCTGGGGTCTAGACCTCCCTCTAGCCTCGACCGCTGTTCCACCCTAGATCCTCCTTTTAGTGATAACACACTTCAACATCCCGTTCATCCAGTTCACGGATATTCCCACCCCTCTCTGCATGCCCACCCCCTGGTCACCTCTGCTGTCCACGAGGCTCCCTCTGTCCTCCCCCTTGCCCCTCCTCCTGGGACTCCCCATGTTCACCCCCTCTCTGGTGACACTCATTGAATAACCTTCTATTCTTTTCAACGTGTTAAAGTACTCCAGATAATTCGTTTTTCTATCTGAAAAGACAAAACACAGAAATAAATTTTAAAAGGGAGACCAGCTGAAGGGAAAGCTGGTGGCCTTTCCTCAAGGACCTTCCCAGAGGCTGAGACCTGCAATGGAGATGGGGCCCTGCCCCGGCACAAGGGGCATTGAATAGATGGACGCTGTTGCTGTGGTTGCTAGGTGCCATTGAATCGATTCTGCCCTGTAGCGACCTTATGCCCAGCAGAACAAAACACTGCCCGGTCCTTCACCACCCTCACACTCTTTCCCACTCTGGAGCCCATGGCCGCAGCCACGATGTCAATCCTTCTCCTTAAGGGCCTCCCTCTCCCTCACTGCCCCTCTGCTTTACCAAACATGATGCCCTTCTCCAAAGACTGGAGATGCATGCTGGCCGTACTTCCTCCATGACAGATTGGTCTGTCCTTTTAGCAACCCATAGTTCTTTCAATATTCTTTGCCAGCTCCACAATTCAAACGCATCAAGTCATCTCCAGCCTTCCTCATTCAATATCCAACTTGCATGCAAATGAGGCCATGGAAAATACCATGGCTTGGGTCAGGCGCACCTTAGTCCTCAAAGGAACATCCTTGCTTTTCAGTATTCCAAAGAGGTCGTGTGCAGCAGATTCACCTAACGCAGCTCATCTTTTGATCTCTTGAATGCTCATTGATCATGGACCCTTGACAACTTAAAACTTTTCTCCATTTATCAAAATGTTCCCTCTTGGTCCAATTGTGAGGATTTTTGTTTTCTTTACATTGAGTTGCAAACCATACTGAGGGCTGCAGTCCTTGAACTTCGTCAGCACGTGCTTCAAGTCCTCCTCACTCTCAGCAAGAAGGTTGTGTCATCTGAAGACCTCAGGCTGTCCATAGCCTTCCTCCCATCCCAATGCCACGTTGTTCTTTATATAACCTGGCTTCTCTGGCAATTTGCTCAGCATCCAGATTGAATAAGGATGGCGAGGGCACACAACCCCGTCGCACACCTCTCCTGATTTTAACCCCTGCAGTATGCCCTTGGTCCGTCCACACAACTGAGATCTTTAGGAAGAGCACGTTCTAGGTCCTGTTGCTCCTTTTCTTCTTTGCTACCAATTCTGGGGCAGTGGGTGGGGATCACATGCAACACCAGGGCTCCCCTGGGCCCCGCTCAGCCATGGCTACTACAGGCCGACCTACAGGGGGTCTTGTAATGCTGTGGCTGCTGGTTCAGGACCCTCTAACTCCCTGACTGTGCTTTCAGTAGGTGGAGCTACATCCAGGCCTGAGGGTCAGACCTGTGAACCCAGAGTTCAGGACTACCAATCTGGTCATCAGCCTGACCAAGGGTCGGGGTCAGCTGAGCTTGGCCAGAAAACATGTCCTGTGGGAGCATCATTTGTATAAGTCCCAATAGCAGGCTGGGCCTTCAGGACAGTATTTGCAGTCACTCTGGAGACACAACCCCCTCAACAGGCGCTCGCTTGGTCGGTATGCCCCAAGGAGGGAATGAAAGGGAAGCCTCTCAGGCTGCTCAGGAGATTCTGATCAGAAGCATGCAATGAAGGCCCAGCCCAGCTCCCTTTTCTACGCTGGAGGAATGGGATGTCCATAAGATGCTGTAGCTCTAGACCAGGCCCTTTGCTCTGCTGGAGAATGGACATTGGCAGTTCAGAGAGTCAGCTGCTGACAAGGTGACATGGTCAGGGAAGCCTACAGGTGGAGCATGCTCTAGCGGACCAGAGGAGTGGGGCAAGAGCAGGTTTCTTTCTTGCCAATGGCTTTGTCTTGAAAACCCGGGGAGGGTTGGCAGCTCACTAAACTCTGACTTTAGATGAAGAGGTGGCAGAGGGGGTGACAAACCACCCCCACTTGAGCAGAGAATTGCTGGTCCGTGGTAGGATCCGAGTCCTGGACACCAACCTTCATTCTCTTTGGCTTGCTCTTAACTCAGATGGTCCTTGGATTCACCTCTCTTGAGGCACAGTCCCCCCACCCCCCACTCCTTCCCACGTGCACCTTCACTCAGATGAAGTTAAGCCAAGTCTGTGTGGGTATTTCAGCTAGGGTAACAAAGAAAATAGATAGAAGGAAACGAGTGGGCAGGGATAAAGAATAGGAGAATTATAGCCACTACCACCCCCAAGTGAACATGTTACCATGGAATCAGTTTTGATTCATGGAGACCCCCAGCATTCCAGAGGATAACTGTTCCATGAGGATTTCTTGACTAATTTTTACACAAACAGATTGACCAGTGTCTCCTCCACAGAGTTGCTGGCTGACTTCAAACCAGCAGCTGTTGGGTTAGCAGCTGGGTGCGATGCAGGGACCTTCAGCAAATAATCCTGGTACTATAACGACGGCCACGCCAGGAGGACTGATGGAGGGAGTAAAGACAGCGTGCACCGGTGGGCGGCACAGGTAGCTCTGAGGCTCTCAAAAGCCAAAGTAAAAGGGGAAACTCCCTGTTTCAATATGCCTCTTGTTCAGATGACTAAACAGGCACAAGATGGGGGAAAAAAACAAACCCAAACTAAGAGACACAATGTAGTGATTTCAGGGGTCCCCCACCCTTGTCCCTCTTTACAGCAGCCAGACTGCTCCTGGGGCCCTGTTAAGGAACTGCTGAAAAGGGATGTGGAGCTGTCCCTTCTCCAGCAGGTTGGCCAAGTCTGTGTCTCCTTCTGAATCGGCTGCCACAGTCAAAGACGGCCACCAACCCTCTGCCTTCAGCCCAGTGGAATTTGCTTTGCTGCTAGTCCCAAGGGTGTTCTGGCCCTGGGGTGTTCTGACCCTGGGGTGTTCTGACCTTGGGGTAATTAGGAGGGAGGAGATGAAAGCAGAAAGGAGAGGTGGCTGGGGAGTAAGGGTGTGTTTGTTTTCCAGGGAGGAGGGTGATGCTGGCAGGG